AAAAATCTTGGTATTTATCTCGATAATTCCTTAAATTGGACACGCCAACTGAATGAGGTAAGTAAGAAAACGTTTGTCGCTCTTTGTTCTCTGCGTCGCCTTCGATCATTTCTTCCCATTCCTACAAAAATTATGCTCGCACAGTCTCTTCTCCTTCCGATTCTCGACTATGCTGACGCAAGCTATGTAGACATAACTGAGGACCAGCTAAATAAGCTTGAGAGACTTCAAAACACTAGTATTCGGTTCATATTTGGATTGCGCAAATATGACCATATTTCCCAATTTCGCTCACGTCTCAAGTGGTTACCGACTTCGTCGGAATATGCATATTCTTTCCATTCTGTACTGTGTATTATTTCACCCTTCTACAGGAGAATCCCTCCCTATCTAAAGGAGAAGTTTAATTTTGTAGGGCTTCCAGGAGAACCTCTACGCTCTACAAGAAAATTCATTTTAAGGGTACCAACTTACAATACTTCCTTTTTTAATAAATCTTTTACTGTCCAGTCTATCAAGCTCTGGAATGCCCTACCGTTGCGTATATGTGAAGCACAAACTATTGTTATGTTTAAGCGACAACTTAAAGAGCATTACTTGTCTCAGTCGTTCGAACACCGTTAGAATAAATTACGTGATTATGTATCTATTGTATTTATCTACTTTATATTATTGTTTGAGGAATTTTGTTATATGTATATATGTGTGTATACTTGTGTATGTATGTATATATATATATATATATATATATATAAATATATATATATTTATATATATATATATATATATATATATATATATGTTATATGTGTATATTATATGTTTTACTTTATTTTTTTAATTATATTTTAGCAATTTATATAATTTCATGTATTAGTTATTTTATGATGTGTTTATAAATCGCATGTATTGATATTATATTTTGTATATTTATATTGCACCATATACCTAGTTTTCATTGTTCTAATCCTTTACACCTTTGGTTGCCTGAAAGAGATCGCTATGTAGCGATAAGGCTGTCAAATTGTACTTACATATTATAATCTGCTTTTGTTTTGTTATCTGTATATTTTTTGTGGTGTACAATAAAAGTATATTCATTCATTTATTCAACCTATCATCTTCTAAGTATGCCATTACGGGCATCTCACAAGTCACTAACACGGAAACACTGTGATCTTCATTAGAACAATTATTATAAGTTGTAAATATTCATGTAGCCATCTTTTTTAAATGTCAACTAATCAGACCATGAAATATTCTCGAAGAATCGTGGATTTTCCCGGTGTCTTTGTAACACCGTTTGACATAACGCAGCTCTTGGAAGATAATCCCAGGTTAGTAAAGTTTGTATTCGCTGCACGTGATGCGGGTGGAACTTTTTTTTGCAAGATCCGGTGGGCTGGACTTTTGGATATTCCTGTGCTTGCTTCAATGTTTGTTGATGAGATGTTCTCGTAAGGAAAAGAAATTCTTCCTTCACCATAAGATTGGTTTGGGAATCGGCCCTGAGTAAACGATTCTGAGAGTAGAAGACAAGCAGCATTTGAGTATCTCTCACGATAAACTCTAGCTGCAGCACTAGCATTGCCTTAGCATTTCCCAAAAATAAAATGCATGCTGGCATATTCCTGTGTGGTGTACACAGACATGATGGCACTACACAATCACACGATCAGCATTTCAGCATCCAGGGGAAAGCAAAGGTCGTCAAAAAGAAATACTACACACCAAATCCAAATCACAAGCAAAAGTTCAATAAAGGAAGCAAAAATTGGTAAGTACTAAATCGTTATAAACGAATACGGAAAGACGCGCAGTAAACGACAGAGCGTAACGTACTGCTCTGTATTGTGCGTTAGTGGCGATGGACAACAGCGACTATAATCTGCGGCACTCACTAGTCGCATGATGTATCTATCCGTCTCACACATTATTAAAAGTGGCGTCACTATCTGTCTTGCTCACAGTTCGTAAAATCATTTTCTTCAGCTCTCCTTCTCCGACATTAGTAATAGTGACGTCACTATCTATTTCGCTTGCACTTCATAAAATGACTCTCTCCGTCTTTCTCCATCTCACTTAAACTAGAATCTTAAAGTTATGGCATTGAGGAAAGAAAAGGTATTCAAAACCGGGTTGCTTTACAAAATACAAATTGTTCAAGAAATAATCTATATGGCAGGTATTATATCACTTAGGAATGCTCGTAAAATGAGCCATATTTAAAAGTTACTTGCCAAACTAGCGTAGTACATTTTTTCCAGATAAAATTGCTTAGTCCAACCCTTCAAAGTAAGTCCGAGTCGGGGTGCCCTAAGTCCCGCTCGCTTTGCTCGCTCTTGCCCTCAACAAAACACCAAAATATTAGCTTTTATAATTAATTAAAATTATAAACATAATATATAATACAATAATAACCATACTACGGCTCGCACAGGTGCCTGCGATTTGCTAAGACGAAGAAGGGCGGAGGCTGCTCTCCCTCCGCAACCACGGCTTTACAAAAACACTTTAGGAGTAGGGCAGACAAGTCTACCTGGATTCGGGGCGTGCTAATTTCATTTTAGTACAGATTCGATCAGATCAGATATCTATAGTCAGGATGCCTTTGCACCCGCTACAGACACAAAATTCCGTATGCTATCCATCTTTCACAGTAATATCGTATAATTTTTTCTCAGAAAGTCTAGAACCCAGAGCCGTAAATTCAGTTAATAATAAAAAATGTATCACTTTTCATACTCTCTAGTATATAGTCAGTAATCTATGTTTCATACTTTCATACTTTACGTATTAATGTTATAATAGTTTTTATTTATTTTTTCGATAATGGTGCATTACCTTTTAATGTGAGTGGTATTATTATAATAGGAGACCAAACCTCTACCAAATAAAACACCTTACTCCCCCAAATTCCTGCCAAAGTTATGATTTTGAGGTTAGTTCTATGGGATTTTCTTTTAATTTTTCTCGATAATGGTGCATTACCTTTTAATGGGAGTGGTATTATTATAATCGGGGACCAAACCTCTACCAAATAAAACACCTTACTCCCCCAAACTCCTGCCAAACGATTCTAAATTTCAACCACTTTGAATACTTATTTGGGCTAAAAATTACATTTCCTTCCAATCTCAAGCAGTAGCCTTTAAATTTTAGGCAACAACTTACAGAAGCATTATTTAAGCTTAATTATTTAAAAAAAATCTCAAAAAAAACATTTGCAGTAACGAGAGTTAAAAGACTACCACAGGTTGTAAATTTTCTCTATTTTTTTGTATGCCTATTATTTAATAAATATATAACTTTGAATAAAACTATTATTTACGGATTTTATCGCGTTTAATTACTTTAATTTATTTTTATTATTATCCCAACGTTTCGGTGTCAGAATGGTTGGGGGAGACTGAGATGTTTGACGTCCCAATGTCATAGTTAGTCCGGCTACCTTCAGTTTTTTTAATATTAATTTTTGGTCCGATTTACGCAAAACGAGCTTATAGTATCATGAACGCTGTAAAGCACCCGAAACGTTGGGATAATAATAAAAATAAATTAAAGTAATTAAACGCGATAAAATCCGTAAATAATAGTTTTATTTAATGTGTAGTGTTCGCGTAAATTTAAGAAATCAATATATAAACGTTTAATTTTTTTTTTTTTCATAATTATCATGACTTGGCCTACCACCTGTTTCCGGCTTGATGGTGATTTCTTGGACATTCTCTATAATTAAATTCAGAAAAGTCAGCAATGTCCAACTATATTGCCTTTTAAAACCAATTCAATTAGTATAAACTATTATATAACTAGTGACCGACTCGGCTTCACACGAGTAGGGTCTATTAATCTGATGTTATTTAGATTTAAGGTAATCAAAAACTCGTTTTTTCGTATTTTTTTTTAAAAACCAAGTTTTTGGATAAGATATATAGATCCTATATCACTCTTTGCACTGCTCTCTATATATAATATTACAAACATTAAATATTGTGCTTTTAGGTTTTAATGAAATTTATTTAAAAAAAAACATTTAATTAATACTAGTTTTTACGAATTTTATCGCGTATATTAACTTTTTTATATACCCGAGCTTTCAAGCACTTTACAGTATCCATAGTCACGGGGGGGACTGAGATGTTCAACGTCCAGATGTCGTAGTTAACAGCGGTTACCACAGATACAAATTAGGATGTTTTTTGAATTCAATAGGCTCGCGAATCATCCTTGGAAGGAATCGGTGTTAATCGGTTCTATCAAGTCTGATGTAGTGACGCGTTCCCAGACTGCAGACTTCCCGTAACGTCGATTCTTCACATCAGATATATGTTCTTTAACGCTGGTTTTAATTGGATTTTGAGTGCTGTAAAGTGCTCGAAATGTCGAGTATTTAAAAAGTTAAATATACGCGATAAAATTCGTAAAAACTCGTATTATATAAATATGTAGCTTTCGCGTAAATATAAGAAATCATTATTTAAAAAAAAAGCATTTAATCATACACCAATTTCATCACTTTATATTTTACCAGTAATTCTGCGTGAGTACAGTGAGTTCATTCTACGTGAATGTACTATATTTTATAATTTAAGGTTGACAGAAACCCAGGCCAACCATGACATCAGAATAAGTATTGCAAAACACTCGAAACATTTTTATAGACAAACACAACACAGGCCACTAAGAGGATGTGGAGTGCAGGCAAGTGGATACTGTGACCAATAGATGCTTACACCTATTGTCTTTTCGCCTGATGACTAACATGGAATGCTTCGTTATTAGTAATAGTGGTATCCAAATTTCTGTCGCTCACCACGCGAAATAAAACAGTATTACCCTGTACCTATTCATATATATATATATTTTTATATATATATATATATATATATACATATATATATTTCTCTTTAAAGATGTACTGTCTCTACTGTCGATAGTTTTCCGAAATATCCGAAAGATGAGAAATAACTGTTACCGAACATATACATTCTACTCACATATCCCTCCGGATGCAGTTTGATTAAAAACTTTTTTCCTCTTGAACGATATCTTCCTGATCTTGGCCCAGCTGAAAGTGTTGATCTTGGTAAAGCTCTGGAAGACAACGATACCCATGTGCGCTACCGCCAGGTTTAGTGGTACGCCGTCGTGGTCTTTCGCCGGGTGCATCTTTATTCCTACAGCGTAAGTTGCTTATTTAAATAATATAAACAAACCACTTCGTTCCGTGGATGTCATAGATAAGTAGTAAACATTTATGATATCCACAGATATTTGAATAGACAGGAAGAATTTCATAGCTTTTAATAAATGGTAAAAATAGGCCTTTGGCCTTCCCTAAAAAAAAAGTTTTCTTTAAAATAATATTAACAATGCTATAAACATTACTAATATTCCCCCCCCCTTTACCACTCGTGGTAAGCTTAAATTGCTTGGTGTTACGAGTGGTTCACGCCAGTAGTCGAATGGCGGATTCGAACCCACGACCTTTTTGAGTTCGCGGTCCTCGCCCTGCCATTAGGCTATTGTCGCTTTTTAAGAGAAGCTTTTTAAGCTTCATAGAGATTTTGCCCTAATTACCACACTTAGCAAGCGTATTGGCAACTGCAGCTTATCTCGTGTACCATCACCCTCCGTCGCTTGTTGTGACCCCCACGGGACGACATGGCATAGTGGATATATTATATATTCACATACGCCGCTACTACACGGCGCACGTATTTATTCATTTATTCATATTTATTACAAAACAATACAAATAGCAAACTTTTTTATATAAAATAAGGGTGACAAACGAGCACACAGTCCACCTGATGGTCAGTGGATGCTGTGGCTCAGAGACATCTACATTAATCCTCGATTAACTCCTGAGGACTAACATGAAATGCCTCGTTTCCAGTTAAATATCCCCAGATCTCTACACTCAGCATACGAAACACAGCAGCATTAAGCTGCTATTCTATGAGAGCTACTCCGGTCGAGTCGACCTATTCGTGCTGCAACCATAATATAGAGAGTTAACTCAGTTTTATAATTAGAATATATAAAACGTGACAAAACAACATTATTAATATCATACTAGATAGTGCTGCTCCTTTCCTACCTTAGAACAAGTCTATGTAGGTATTGGTTGGTTATCCTTACCTATTTTTACAACCAAATAGCAGCTCCATTCAGAGCTTAGTTGTGGGCTTGTGGGTGTGCGGAGAACCAAAATAATCACAGGTTGTGGGGCATTTCAACGTAGTCCTCAGAGGTAACAATGCAGCTGCATTCTTCTTTGTGTAGACTTGGTTGAAAGTGTTCAAAAGCCATCAAGTAGACTGTGAGAGTTTTCGAACCTAATTATAATATTACAACAAACGACAGACTATGTTACATACCATACAGTTCGCATCTTCGTGCGGTTTCTAACAAATTTAGATCCGCCTCAGCCGGACTCTGGCCACTGCAACAAATGACATATTCATTTATTTGAAAACATTATTTTTACAAATTAAAGGTGAGCTCAGCCACATTTACTTTTTATAGAATACTATAAAATACATTATACCCTTTACAAATTAAAATTTAATTTAAGAGTTAATGTGTCTAAATATAACACTATTCTTTCATGAACCATGACTGCCTCGTTGGTCTAGTGGTTGTAGTAGTGCGACTGCTGATCATGAGGTCCTGGGTTCGAATCCCGGGTCGGGTCAAAAGCTGATTATTGAGTTTTTCCGTCAAGAAATTCTCAGTAGCTGCCCGGAGTCTGGAAGTTGGCGGTGTCTCGCCCTCCTTGGATAGCACATAAAGCCGTTGGTCCTGTGCCTGATTTCTTTCCGTCGTGTCGGTTTACCGTCCCATCGGATTTATGAGTGAGGGAATAGAGAATGCACCTGTGGTTGCGCATACACTTGGGCACTATAATCCTGTCGTACGCCGAGGTCTAGTCTCCGTTTAATCAGGCCGCCGTGACCGAAATTCGGTCTGGAGGATATTATTCTTCCATCTTTTGTTTTTCTTATGAATAAATAAAATAAGATTAAAGTATCCTAGACATTACATGAAATATAAAAAATTGGATTTTTATTAAATTAAATTAAATATACAAGTTCTTATTACAAACAAGTTTATAAAAACCTACATTAAAATAGGTATGTAACGTCAGTTCGTCTAAAAAACATG